CCAGCCAGAGACACTGGGGGGGGCAGGGCAGGTACGCAGATGGGGGTACATCCCACCCACTGCAGCCCTGGCTGCCTCCAGCTGGAGGTGCTGTGGGCAGCAGGGCGGGAGCTGTAGCCACAGGGAGGCTGGTAACTGCTTCAGCCCTGCCCCTGCTCCAGGGGAAGCCATAGCCGTGCCGTGCCGTGCCATGCAGTGCCCTCAGCCTGGCCGGGGGGCTGCGGGGCCATGCCCAAGGTAGCTGACGGTGGTCCCTGCCTGGCAGGGTGCTGATGGGCTCCGGGAGCGACCGGGGCTGGATGACACTGAAGCTGCTGTCCCTGCTGTACCTGGCCATGCAGCTGGGCTGCATCGCCCTCATCAACTTCTCGCTGGGCTTCCTGCTGGCCGTCACCATGGTGCCCGTCGCCGCCATCGTCCAGCCCGTGGGGCCCAAGTAAGTGTGGGGAGCCCAGGGGGTGGGGTGGACAGCCCCACCGCGTGCAATGGGGGCTTGTGCCGGTGACTCAGGGCCCTGCCACGGGCACAGCCAGGCGTGCAGGCGAATCCCCCAAGAGCTGAGAGCCGGCCCCATGCCAGGGCGGGGCTGCGCGCGCAGCCTGGCACAAAGCAGGGGCTGCTGGGAAAATACCTGCTCCGTCCTGCTCGGGTGAGGGCTGGGCAGGGCGGGGCCGGCCCCTCCTGCCCTGTCCCAGGGGCCGTCCGGGTGGGGAGCGCGGGGCCCTGCTCCTGCGGCCCCCCCGCCCCCCCCTGAACCCTCGTGGCCTCCCTCCAGGTACGTGTACGCGGTGCTGCTGGTGCTGGTCACGCCGGCCGCCACCCTCCTGCTCAGCATCTTCCTGTACCAGGAGCTGATCGAGTATCCGGTCTCGCTGCTGGAGTGCTGGCAGCTCTTCCTGCAGGCCGTGGCCGAGGGCCTCCTGGACCACTACCTCTATGGCTCCATCGTCTTCCCCTTCGTCGCCATCTTCGTCTACCCCTGCTGGCTGCTGCTCTGGAACGTGCTGTTCTG